CCTCTGGCTGGTGGGGGCGGCAGCTGCTGTCCTGCTGGGGGGCGCTTCTGGTGAGTACGCGCTGGCGAGCGGAGCGCGGGACCCCCGGCCTGGCCAGTTTGGGGAGCGCTCGCGGGCGGGGCCCTCTTCCCCCCTTCTCTCCTGCAAGCTTCGCAGCGCCCGCCGGGCTCCTGTGGCGCAATCGCGCGGGCTTCTTCTCCAAATGTCAGGAAGGCTCCCGGCAATGGTGCCCCCTCGGAGACTCTTTTCCTCTTTCTCTTTCTCCTTCTCCTACTCAGAGGACGCAGAACCTACACAGTAGCGGTGGGGTTTTTTTCCCAGCAGAAGAACAAGGGTGGGCAACTTTTGGGACGTCATGGCCACCCTTAAGGGGAGTGAGGGAGGGGGATGAAGTTTACCCAGCGAGAGAGACAGGGTCACACCTGCTGGAGGAGCTGCGTTGTTTAGGAAGTTTTGGAACATTGATTTGCTTTCTTCCCTTTAATGTGTATGCCTATTTAGGGTTTACAATATAGTTCTGGTTCCTGGCTCATCTCACAGCACTGTAAAGGAAACTGTCAGCCTTTTGATGAGAAGGAGCTCTGGAGGCCATAAAAAGGAGACTTGGGGGCAACCGGTTGCCCTTTCCTGCAATGGGAGAACTCTGGGAAGTTCCCTATTTCGATCCCACCTCTGACCCTCCTCCATTGATCATCCCCATGCCTTCCCTTCAGAGTGGACATTTCTGGTCCTCTGGACTGACAGGGTGCCTCCTTGCAAACGCTTATCTTCCCCCAAATTGCTGAAGTTAATATTCTTTCACATTCTGCTCCTTTTTTTTTTTTTGGCATAGCACAGCGTACATGATTTCTCACTTCTCTTCAGTGAGTCATTTTCCATGAAGGAGATGTACAAAGCTCAAGCAATTCCTGCTCCATTACAGCAACTCTGAATTGGAGCTTGTTCAAATTCATGTTGTTATTTTTTGCCAAGAAGTAGGAGACTCGAGATAATTGGCATTCTGTGTTTTTTTCCTTTTATTTATATTAGCAAAAATTCCATTGTATTTAATGCAGAGTTGGGAAGCAGAGGAGAAAGGGCTGGACAGGATGACATTGGATATGAATCTGCCAAGATGGGGGCAGGGCTCATTTCCAAGGCCCTGTAGGTTCTCCCTCCTTCCACCCTACTTAGATGAGGGAGAAAGAAATAGAAGCTGAGCAATGCTTAGTCCTCCCAAGAGAGAAGTTGTTTTCCATCCTGGCACAGGCAGAGACTTGGGGGGTTGGGGAAGAGTAGAGGAAGCATCAGAAATCTCATAACTCTACCAAAAGCTCCTATGAACTGGAATAAAGGGATGTTGCTCCCCCTGCCCCCCCCCCACTGCTACCATCTACAACTATAGGATGTCCATAATCACTGGAGAATGATCATATATGAGAGAGAGAGAGGCATCTCCCTCTCTACCCCACCAGTCCAGGGGAACATCATTTCCTCACCATTGAAATTTTCAACTAGAATATATTTCAGTGCCCAAACCAAAGTTGTCGTGTTCCCCCACCCCACCTCCAGTCACGTATCAGAGCTCTGCAAAGTCTCTGCTGAGCTGGACTTGGTATAAGGCAGGAAGAGGGAATAGAAAAGGAAAAAGCCATTTGACTGCATTTTGATTTGGCAGTTGTTGACATTAAACTGTAACCAAGATTATACCATTGGAAAAGAGAATGGAATTTTCTGGTTGCACAAAATGAGAGGTATTAATCCAACATTGGCCGTTGTATTGAAAACAAAAATCTGACTATGGATTTGGGAGGTGAACAGTTGGACGCTTGGGGTCCCCTCAGGCCCTTCTAGCCCCATGAGTTTGAGGGTAAGATTGGGGTTGGCCAAGAGATTATTAATGGGACTCCTTGACCCACTTCTGTGTTTTTGACAGAGTGATCAGTTGGGTTTCCTGTTTAAGGAGATGATTCTTTATCAGGGGACTGTGGCAAGGGGCAAACTTGGCAATTCTGCCCTTCTGGAGTTGAAGAAATAAGTTGAGTGTGACATTGGCTCCCTTCTCAGACACTTCAGGTATTAATACATTGGCAGAAATTTCCCTGCTATCTGTCCAAGTTCCTGCCCTGTTTGATTTTATTCTACTCTTTTTAGTCTTCTGCTAATGAATAATGAATAATAATTATTTTATTAATAATAAAATTTAAATTAAATTTATTAATTGTTATTTATTATATTTATTATTTATTAATATAAATTTATTAAATTTAAATAAATAAAATAAATAAAATAAAATAAAAAAAGAATAATGTTCCAGTCCCACCTAGGCACAATGCCAGCTGGGTGACCTTGGGCCAGTCACTTTCTCTCAGCCCTAGGAAGGAGGCAGTGGCAAACCACTTCTGAAAAACCTTGCCAAGAAAACTTCAGGGACTTGTCCAGGCAGTCTCCGAGAACCAGACCCGATTGAACAGATTAAAAAAGAAATGAATCAATAAGTAGGAAGCTAGCATCTGGGAAAGCACCTAGGTAATCCAATGGCAGCTCTGAAAAATGGCAATGCTTGGCTGGCCCTGTCTCAACTCAGATGCTACGCAGGATCAGACCTGGCTACTGCTTGATTACCCTGGGATTGTGGGGCTGCATCGTAGTCTGGAAAGCCTCAGAGCATTGGAGAAGCTTCTGTGCTATTGCCAAGAAAATGTCATGGGCAAAGCCTTTAGGGGCTGAACGCTAGTTGATGGAGATGTTACTATGAAAAGTGTCCTTTTTACAGCACTCCCAAGAACAGACATACGGCCAATGGAGAAGAAAATGGCTGGGATAGGGAGTCAGGCGCCGGACTAGAACCAGGGAATCTGCCTTCAGCTCTGGAGGAAAGGCAGAATGAAAGGAAGATGATGAACAGACAAATAAGAACGCTATGTAGCTGCACTTAAACCCCTAAGACCTTTTTACTTATGGACAGTATTGGATTTTCTATCTGTCCCCTTTCCTTCTAAGTGTCAGGGAGGCTCCAGAGCCCGCCCTCCTCCACCATTATCCAAACTAAAATAGTCCTGCGAGGTTGTTTGAGCTGGAAGAAAATGACGGGCCAAAGTTACCCAGTGGCCCAGTTTGCACAGTGGTCATGGTCAAGTGGCCATAAAGGAAGCTGGGAGATTATTGTGCCCCCAGTTCCTGTTTTTTAAACCACCCCCCCCAATGTACGGTAGCTTATCTAATACATGGGGGCTTTCTCACCCCATCTGCTGCTTCCTCTATTAACTCCTCCCCCCATGTGGCCACCAAAATAACCACAGAGACAGAATGGCTACAGAGGTGCGCTTTTTGCTTGTTCCTAGAATTAATTTAACCCCAAAGGAGACTGCATGGGTTCGGGCTGAATCTGATCCCCAATCAGTAGTTAATGAGCTGAGGTCAAGTTCATAAAGGAAAAATATGATATATTTGTCATAATAAAATAAACTGGGTAGGAGAACAGTGTTGTGTAGTGCTTAAGGTCTTGGACTACGACTGGAGAGACTCGGGTGCAAGTCCTTCCTTGGCTCTGGAAGCTCCCTAGGCGACTTTGGACCAGTCTCAACCCAACTACCTCACAGAGTTGTTGTTGTGGGGAAAAAATGGAGGAAGGAATGCCATGTTGGCCACCTTGTGCTCCATGGGAAAAGGCAGGCCATAAACATAAAAAAGTAAATACTGTATGGTATAACTGGGTAGACCAATGCTTTACCACATAGCCATAAAATCAATTAAAATCATACTATAGGATGAAACGGAGAGCCAGTCTGATGGAATGGTGATTTTAGGGTTCATTTGAAGAAGGCAGCAGAAGCATTATGTACAGCCCAGAACTGACCTTCAGGGCCTTCGCTAGCTGCTGGGAACAGAGCAGATAATTAAGGTGTAAACCGGTCCAAATTCCTTTCTCTTTGGATATAGCATTTCTTATCATTTAGAGCTGAGAAGAGCCAGTACAGTGAAACCTTCTCCCAGGAGGAAGCGGCTGTGCTCACCCGTGCCCAGAGAAATAAGAAGCCGCCTAGTTTATATTTCCCTTAGCAACAACAAGCGCCCACCTTCGGGCTGTGGTGCCCACCTTTTGGGAGTGTTTTGCCCACCCAAGGGTGTGAATAATTACTGTCTGCCAATGATCATGTAGTTCTTTGTTTCAAGAATGTATAAAAGTTGTGTTGCTTGACAAATAGGGGTGCCTGCTCTGGAAATTATTCCCGGGCACCTTACTCTGCTCAGAATAAATACTTTATTATCTCCATCCTGGTGTGTTGGGGAAAATTGGATGCCAGGCTAGAACCCCCCAGAGTTTATGAGACAACAAGGCTGGTGTAATAATTAAGGCATCAGGTTAGAAACCAGGAGACTGAGTTCTAGTCCTGCCTTAGGTACAAAGTATCAGAACTCAACCTTATTACAAATTATAATTCAGATATAAATTTAAAGTTCTGTGGAAGAGTTTTATTTTTTCTGCTTTCCTGAAAAATCATCAGGGAGAGCACTGTTCTGGTCTTGGGGTGGGAGGGGAAAGGTTACTCCAAAGAGATAACGTCTCCTTTCTCCTTTCCCAAACCTTATATGGGGAGACCCTCAACATCCCAATTCAGGTCACAGGCACTGGATGTATCAGTTCTGCTTGAAGCAGGTGGACCTGGAGGTACCCAGCTGCGAAGCCATGTTGGGCTTTACAGGGATAAGCAGGACTTTGAATGGTACTGGGAAGCCTGTCAGAAGCCAACACAGCGATCACATAACTGTGGTGTTATGAGAGAGGCTGCTGCGTTTTGTATCAATTGCAGCGTCTGGGTACCCTTCAGTGACAGTCCCATGGAGACAGTATTGCAGTAGTCCATCCTGCAGGTACTGAGGGCATGAAAACTGTCACTAGGGCTTCAGTTAGCATTACCTTCAGGTGAAAGCAAGGGTTCTTCTGCTTTTTACTAAAGCAGATTCCCAGTTCTGCTGGAGTTGTAAATTCTGTTTCTTCTTTTGTTTGCTCTGCGGCATGAAAGGAAAGTAGTTTCATTCTTTTTATAAGCATATTCTGTTGCCAAGAAGAGATTGACTAAAGGATCATTGGGTTTTACTTGGAAAGGGTGGGGCCTGACTTTCAGTTCCACAGAAAGGAACTGCCCAAATGTTGGTTCCTGGAAAGGAACTAAAGCGAGCCAAAAGTTGCAGACTTTTCAGACACATGCAAATTGAGGGGGGTTTTCTTACAGATTTGGGGTACCTGTTGCTCAATCATATTTAGTGTAGCCTCTGTGCTGCTTAGAGCAGAAGTCGTCTATGGCTCTTTGCAGCCACTAAGACTACAATGAACTTGAATAGAATTCCACAAGATTCGATCCTGGCCTTCTGCTCTTAGCTTGGCTCTTTGGTATGTTTATTAACGACATGGATGAAGAGTGGAGGGAAGACGGATAAGAGCTGAGAATGACACAAAAGTGGGTGTGTTGCCTAATACCTTGGAAGCAGAAATAAAATTCAAAGCAATCTGGACAGGGTAGAGCAATTTCTCAGCCTTGGCAAGTTTAGATACATATATTTGAACTCCCAGAATTCCCTACCACATGGCCATTGCTGAGAATTGTGGTAGTTGAAATCCACACATTTGAAAGTTGCTCAGATTGAGGAACACTGGGCTGGAAAAATAAGATGAAAGTAACAGGATGGAATTTAACAGAATTTAGGAAACAGAAACCAAATGCATAGATGTAAGATGTAGGATACCTAGCTTAGTAATTGTATTTGCGAAAAAGATCTTGGAATAGTAGTTATATGAGGCAGCTGTGTGATGTAGCTGTGAAAAAAAGCAAGTTCTGTTTTGGGCTGTATTAAGAGTTTCCAAATTACAGGAAGGCATTGCTCCCCTCTGTTCTGAATTAGCCCGATCCCACTTCACATACCATGTCCATTTCTGGCAGCGTACTTCAAGAAAGAGTTAGACAAGTTGGGACAGGTTCAGGAGGAACACTGCAGGTGATTGGGAGGGAGAAACTAAATCTTAAATACCGTGTCCAATTCTGGACAGCACTCTGTCAGGGATGCTTAAATTGGATTCCTGCACTAAGCAGGGAATTGGGCTCAGTGGCCTCACAAGTCCCTTTCATTTTCGGGCCCCATGATCTCTGCAGTACCATTAACACAACTTCATTACTGTACATAATAAAAGTTGTAATAGTTACTGTTGTCCACATTATCCCTATATATAACTGGCCAGAGTTGTTGGGATCAGGCAGTATACAAATTTAATTAATAACAACAACAACAAACAACAATAGTAATCTTGGCATTATGAATGATACTCCGGAGTCCTTGGGGTTCTCTGAGCTTGGTTGTTTTCTTGCAAATGTTTCATTACCCAGCTAGGTAATAAATTCAGTGCTAGCCGGGTAATGTAACATTTGCAAGAAAACAACTAAGCCCAGAGAACCCCAAGGACTCCACAGTTCAACCCTGAGCTACACATACTCGCTTCGAATGATACTCTGCCATTATTCTACCGATATGTGGTTCATGTGGTTAGGCATGATTAACATTCTAGCAGCTGTAATTATTTCATATAAGAAACACTTGAATGGATATTGCTGTCTGCATTTGCCTTTCCTCTGACTTTATTTTTTCCTCCTCTACCCACAGGCATCTATAGAACTGCAGCTGAGGAACTAGACAGGCCCCCCGTGGTGTGTCTTTTGTTTCCCGCAGGCCAGGCTTGCCCTCCCACCAAATTTTTGGCTGCCCTAAGAACCCAGGGCCTTCTTTCTGTCTTATGTACTAGCTGGAATAGTCAGTACATAAGACAGAAAGATTTCAACTGGGAGACCCAGAGGCCAGCACTGAAGCTCCCCTGGGTAACATTAGGCCAAGAGTGGACTTTCCTTGACCAGATTGTATGGAGAATAAATTGCAAACCTGGATGGGAAGAATTCTCCTAAGTACTTGGAGGAAAGGTGGAAGACACCAGGGATATTTAAGTGGTCAAACATGTTTACAGCTGCCTTTTGGGGTCTCTCGGCTGACAACCCTCTAACCCTGTCCTTCTTCCCTCCCTTGCAGGCAGTGCCTCCCCTTCACATTCCCTGCTGCACTTCCGCAGTGTTGTGGTCGTTGAGGGGCTGCCCCAATTCTCTGAGGTGAGCTACTTGGACAGACAGCCTATGCAACGCTATGACAGCAAAACAAAAAGAATGCAGCCTTTAGCGCTGTGGATTAACCAATCGCGGGATAACGATTACTGGGACATGGAGACCTCTGCTGTGAGATACGATGAGAAAGATTTCCTAGAAAATTTGCAAGACCTGTTGGCTCCACAGAAACACCACAACCAGAGCAAGGGTGAGAAGACAAAAGAACAGTATTAACCCCCCCACACACCTTAAATAAAAAACCCAACTGAGCAGCTTGAAGCTAAACATTAATTCATTCGCTGGTGATTCAGGTGAAAGTCAAACAGAAGCTCGAGAGAGATGCTCAGGGGCTGATCCAGCTTGGATCCTCTGTCCCTCCTTTCCTCCTAGCCTCAGGAAAGGAAAGGTATGACCCATCTTCAAACCAGGCCTTCCTCTTTCACCTGGTAGAGACGTTTGTCGAGCCCTTTTTCATGTGCAATAGGGCTGGGTGGAAGAAAGGCTGGTGCTGAGTTAATGTTCACTCAGGAGAGAATATATTATCTGGGCCCCTTCCAGTCAGGCTGGGGCAGGGGACTGAAACAGCATTCGTCATACTTTTGGATGACCTCTGGTGGGCTCATGATGGACAGAGTGCATCCATCCTGGGAGTTTTAGTCTGTCTCAGCCTAGCCTACTTTACAGGGGTGGGGTGAGATTAAAATAGATTGTGGCAACCCTGCAGGTCTTTCATACTTTCTGGGAGGAAAGGTGGTCATCTTTTTTGGAAAGGGAAAGGGAAGAAATCTATCCTTAATGCAAGCTTTAAAACAAACTGCATATCTCTCTTACATATGGACCTGTATGTAACAGAGATGTGCAGGTATGAATTTATTTACTTAATACAAAATATTTTCTGAGTTGAGACTATGTTTAGTTGTAGGGGGAATTTTTTTAATTTTTAAATTCTGGGTAATCCAACTGAAACATTTAGATTAGAAAAAAACAGCCTTTGCTTCTTATATACTATAAAAAATGGGGGATTCTGCCAGTTTGCAAATGTTTTCACTACTGCTTTCTTTGAACTTATTCTGTTGAATTTAGTATTACCTGATTTGAACTACTGGTAGTCCTCAGTTAACTATCATTCGTTCCACGACCGTTCAAAGTTACGATGGTGCTGAATGAGACTTATGACTGGTCCTCAGAATTGTGGCCATTGCAGCATCCCCTCAGTCACGTGATCATGATTTGGGCGCTTGGCAACTGGTGCACATTTACAATGGTTCTAGTGTCCTGCTGTCACGTGATCGCCATATGTGACCTTCATAGCCAGCTTCTAACAAGCAAAGTCACTGGGGAAACCTCCCACCTGTCATTTACTTAATGACCGCAACCGAAACTGTCGTAAATTGGTGTGGTCATGTGATTTTCCACTTTACGGCCATGTTGCTTAGCGACGGAGTTGCCTCTCCCAATTACAGCAGTTAACCAAGGACTACCTGTACAATCATCTATGTTGAAGGACTTCTTTTTCTGGGTTTATTCAGACTTCTTTTCTCAAGTTATCATATTCAGAACCACAGGAGGGCACTCCAACACAAGAAAGGAGACTTAAGGACTTAGGAAGAAGAGCCATTTCCTTCTCGATATTTTTCAAAATTGGGGGAAATTATTTAATGAATTTTTTTAAATGGAATGAGATATTGGACTGGCAAAAACAGATTATAAAACAATCTTTCTTTAATCCTTTCCCTAACCCTATTTTACTCCAAATCTATTCAATCATATGCCATTTAGTTATATTTTACAGCATAAAACTGGAAGTTAAACATTTATAACTATAAGTGGGATTTCTTGTAAAGGAGAAAGTGTATTTGTGATTTTTAATTATATATATTTTGTACAATTTAAATATGGTTGTTTTCACAAGATTTGCCATACTTTTAAGTGCTTTTTAATTCTTATTTCTCATTTTTATTGTCAAGTAAATTCCTAAATATGTAATCTTCTTAGCAGTAATATTAAAGCCTGTGGTTTGATGCACACACTGCTTTTCATCAACTGCCAAATCCCATGTGAACAGTTGAGTTTTCTCTTTATTCAATTGGTAATTTAACACTGAACCATATGGTTGTATATGTTCAGGCAACAATATTAAAGTATAATCTAAGGAATTATGGGAAGAGAAGTAAACTAAGAAAATTAGTGGAAAAAGAATCCAACACTGAGATGATCCAAGTGGCTTTCACAACAAGCTATCAGGACAGCCAAGGAAAGATGAAGGATAAAACCCCTGGGCAAAAAGGATTGAATGCAGACAAAGAAAGACAAGGAGAATCAAGAATGTCAACTAATGGTGGAAAATAACAAGCAAAAGAAAAGAAGAGGTATTTAAGAAGATCAGCGGGGGAAAAAAGGAATATCTACCATAAGATAAGACTATTCAAGAGTAATCGTGGAGATAGAGATAAAGGTGGAAAGACTATAACAAACCTCTAAATAAGTATTATTATTGATTGACAGAGGATTTGAAGAGAGAATAAACTCAGGAACTGATTCGCTAGAAAGTGGGGAATGAGAAGCAACAGAGTAGCTGTCAAATAGATGAAACATTCATTCAACTGTATAAAGCTACAGGAGAAGAAGACGGTAAAGTGCTAATAGTTATGTCAACAAATGCAGAATAATTTTGGGTGACCTAGAACTTGGGATTCATTTATATATCTCTAGCAATGAAGGGAGACATGCAAATTACTGAACCCATTGCATTAATCTCCACACATACTCATCTTACAAGGAAATAGGAAGTGCCCTCCATTCTTTGCCTCCAATCAATCCTGAAGGCTACCACCATTGATTTGCATCAAAAGCTGCTACAAAGTTGAATCAAGAGAATTGTAACACCCTCGTTTTGATCTTGCCAGAGGTCATCTCCAAGCACAATCAGTCCTGTCTGTATACTATCCCCAGGCCTGAAACCCAATTGAAAGGTATCCAGATAATTTGCTTCCTCCAGGGCCCTGCTGCCTGACCACCTTCTCTACAGCCTTTCCCAGAAAGGGGAGGGAAGGTTGGAGACCTATAAAAAAATTATCCAGCACTGCTGGGTCTGGCAGTGGCTTCTTGAGGAAGAGATGCACCACTGCCTCCTTCAATTTATACCTCCTGAACCCAGCTGCTGGTCACTTCTTGGGAGCACTTGGCCACCCAAAAAGAACAAGGATCTAACATAGAGGTGGAAGCTGTCCACTTCTGTGACACTTGCAGCCTCAAACTCCTCCCAGTTAACAGAGGAAGACTCCTCCTCTGTCAACTCCAGAGGAGCTGGCCAGCCTGAGTCCAACTCAGAATGGATATGAGTGACTTTAATCTGTCAAATGACTAGCATATTCCTCATAGTGGCCCTTCACATGTTCGTCATGCCTCTCCTTTCCTATAAGGATCTGAGTTATTGTAAAAAGAGCCACTGGACAGCATTCTTCACCAGCAATAAGAGCAAAAAAAAAATTCTCTTCTGCCATCCTTATGACCACTCTGCAGACCCCAGTATGGGCTTGTACAAGTGTTTGGTCTGGCTCACTTTTCTGATGCTTCATCTCCCAGAGCTCCTCAGAAAACCAAGGAGCCCATTATAATATATATTATATACACACACACACACACACACACATACACATACACATACATACATACATACATACACACACACACACATACATACACACACACACACACACACACACAGAGAGAAAGGCTGCTTGGGTTGTGGCACTGCCACTCCCTCATTCCAAGGAATGACTAAGGCCTCAGTTGAACTACCCATCAGAGACTCAGGAAAGTCCCCAAATGCCTCTGGAAACCAAGTGGATCCATATACTGTGGTTGTGTACATTACAGCAAGCATAAATAAATATCCACCTAAATTTTACTGCTGCATTCCAGATTTACAACAAGTGTAGAGAGTTGTCTGGCCACAGACGTAGCTGGTTCCTTTTCTTCCCATTATAAGTAGAACTTATAAAGTCTGCCTTTTAAATTTATTTTAAATTTAATTTAAATTAACGTAACTTTTTGAAAAATACAGAATTCCCATATCTTACTAGTTTCCAAACTACCCTACCTTTTGATGTCAGTACTGAATCTGGATCAGTGTTGTTTCTTTTCAACAATGATATTACCAGTTATAGTCTCTTGGTTTTGCATTTGAAAAGAGATAACATAAGGACTTTTATCTTTCCTTGGATTTACAGTATATCCTTAGATTCCTCTGATTCCTTCTATAAACCATTCCCTCAGTAACTTGTGTAATGTAAAATCTAGAAATTTGATGTTTTCTGCAACTTGGGCAGGTTTCTATATGGCACATTTGTTAGCATAAACATGATCTTCCACATCTAAAAGAGATAATGTTCTAGTCCCTCCATTGTAAAAATAATGCTGTTTCTCTTGTTTTTGTTTCAAGCTTTCATAAATGCTTCCTTGATCACCCTGCGAATTTAATAAAACACTAAGACATCACAATGGCAGAGGTGGGGTAGGGGAACCTTGTTTCTGTGCTCTGTCTCTAAGGTGGTGCACATCTGTCCTTTTCTCAGGAGACCACATCTTGCAGTGCATCGATGGCTGTGAACTCATGGCTAATGGAGAGGGAGGAAAGATTCACCGAGATGCTGTTGATGGAAGAGAGATGAAGGGAGAGGGATTTCATTCATACAGTAGAACTTTCTTGGGAGGAAACTGCATTCAGTGGCTGAAGAGGCACTTGAGGGTCCTGGAGACAGTGTCCCAAAGGAAAGGTAATCTTGGGAGGAGGTACAAAGCAACCCTTTTATATTCTTCCCACTTTTAGTCTTCCCCTTAAACTCTCAGTGATAGGCTTTGGAGTCAAACAAGACAGTAGGGTGGTTGTAAACTGTGTGTGTGTGTGTGTGTGTTCTTAATGTCCCTTCTGTTTTTATTTGAAATAGCTAGAAAAGCAAAAAAACGTTTTGGACCTAAATCTTCCCCCTGAGAAAATGTTCTACTTGCAGAAATAATTTCTTACATATCAAGAATATTTAAAAATGCCAATCCGTTGTGAAGTGGTGCCCTCCCCTTTAGCATCTCTCCAGTATACCATCCCATTTGCAGAAATATGATCAAAGCAATCAAAGTTGTTGCGGGCTACATTTCACTGAGCTGAAGCTTCCTGAATACAGAGGGAGCTGAGCAGGAAGACAACTGTCTGCAGCTCTCTGCCTTTCCTGAGATCTCTGTTTCCCCCTCAGTGAGCATTTCCATGTTGGCTCTGAACACCAATGCCGTTTGCAGCATTTGAGCCAATTCACAACCTATTGAGGAGCAAGAAAGACCACTCTGAAGCTGGTTTTGCAGGCACAGGAATGCAGGAGCCTGTAGTACAGGGGAGCAGGCCATCCCTCACTGGCAGGAACTCTTCCTTGCCCTGTTTCCTCTGACCCCAGTTTATCTTCCCTGCAAAGGTTTGGCTGCTGAGGCACCATACTAGCATCTCGCTAGTCTTTGAAATACAGAAGGGGAAGAGCAGCTCCCCCTCACGACAACTGAGCTGAAAACACCAGCAATACAAGCATGGATGGGTGATGGCCATTTTTGGCTGGACGTTACTTTTTGTGGATTTCTGTTGGTCAGCTAAGGGGGGTCTCAAGAGTCTGGAGATTGGTGGCAATGAGACAACTGCAAGTCATCTTCAGAGTTTTTCTGAAGGTTTGGAGAATGAAAACGGTGATGGTGTAGAAGGGCCTTATATTCGGGATCATCTTTCTCCTTAGCTTCATCCTTGTTTAAATTGCAGCATCCTTTTGTCTTTCTGTAACTAAATGCCGAGAGCCAGTTTGATGTAGTGGTTAAGGCACCAGCTAGAAACTGGGAGACAGTGAGTTCTAGTCCTGCCTTAGGCACAAAGCCAGCTGGGTGACCTTGGGCCAGTCTCTCTCTCAGCCCTAGGAAGAAGGAGGAAAGGGCAAACCACTTCCAAAATCTTCCCAAGAAAACTGCAGGGACTTGTCCAGGCAGTTGCCAGGAGTCAAGGCTGACTCGAAGGTGGTGGGGGAGGCTTCTATTCTTTGGTCTAGATGGGATGGCAGGGGGCTTTGTCTGGGGCAGGGAGGGTCAGTTTGGCTCTGATGGGATTAAGCAAAGAGAGGAACTGGGTTTGACCCTGGTCATGTCTAAAAGACAAGGAGGGAAAGAGGGTGCTGAGAAGCAAGTTGTTTTAACTCTTGAGATGCTGCTTGCTCTTGGGTTGACCAGGAGAATTGCCAACCCTTTCTTAGGAGCTGGGACAGCAGTTTTACACGGTCAGCAAAATTAAGGATGGATTTCCTGTAGAAGTTAGCAAAGCCCAGAAAGTGTTGCACATTTTTCATCTTATGGTGTGTGTGTGTGCTATGATAGAATAGACTGTACCTTTGCTGGATCCATCTGTATGACTTCTATGGAGATTCTGTAGCCCAAATAGTCTAACTGAGGCAGGTCAAATGCACATATTCTAGCTTGGCAAAGAGCTGCTTGTCCCATAATTTTTGCAATACATTTCCAACATGGGTGACATGCAAGGAGGGATCTTCAGAATAAACTAGTATGTCATCTAAGTACACCACCATGTGCTTGTCTAAAATGTCTGAAAATATTTTGTTCATGAATCTAGAAAAAATAGCTCTACAGTTAACCAGGCCGATAATCATCACTGTGTATTCAAACTGTATCTTGTTTTGAAGACTGTTAAATACTCGAATCCTTCTTTCATTCTGATTAGGTTGTAAGCACTTCTCAAGTCTAGTTTTGTAAAGATGTGGATCTTTTGTAGCTGGTCTAGTGGATCTGAGATAAGTGGGAGTGGATAATGGTGTCTAATTGTTACTCTGTTCAGGTCTTTGTAGTCATGAATGGGGGGTCCCTTCTTTCTCTTCAGAATGGCTGCTGCTTCTCTTTGTTTTTTGGGCACAAAAAATATTGGTGTCCGTGCTGGTGAGCTGGAAGGGTGAATTAATCCTTTTTTGATGTTGACATCCAAATATTCCTTGAGAATGGCTAACTTGCAAGTAGACATGGAATATTGTCTCTTTGCTGGGATTTGGGCTCTTGGCTTCAAATTGATGGTACAATTGCATGCTTGATGGGGAAATAACATAGCTGCCTTTCCCTCCCCAAACACATCTGCAAAGTCTGCATATTTTTCTGGTAGTGCAAATTCTCCCATGTTCTGTACAGGTAGTCCTAACAACCACAATAGGGACTGGAAAATTGGTCATTAAGCAGAGTGGTCATTAAGCAAATCCAGCTTCCCCAATGGACTTTTTTGCCAGAATTCACTTAACGACCACATGATTTGCTTAACGATCGTCATAAAAATGGTCACAAATTGTGATCACATTACCGCGGAGGGTGGTACAATGATTTGCAATGGTCGTAAGTGCAAGTACAGGTTGTAAAGTGCTTTTTCCAAGGCTGTTGTAATTTTAAGCCACTGTTAAACAAATGGTCGTTGAGCAAGGAGAACCTATATTGGAGTGGGGGTAAACCTGCACTGCTTGTAAGTAATGCTGCTGGCATTTAGGGGAAGGGAATGAGAACGTCCCTTGTGCCCAACTTACATCTGGATCATGCAGCTGAAGCCACTCTATTCCCAAGATGCTGGGCTCTTGCAAGGAGGCAGTTACATAGAGCATTATAAACTTGCTGGGATCTTTGTCAATTGCAAAGGAGCTGTGAGCTGCAAAATCGGCCTTGCTCTTAGTGGCTGTTTGTCAATCATCTCAACTATCATTGGGCTTTCTAGAGCTTAAGCAGGCAACTTTAGTTTCGGTACTATTTTTATATGTATGAAATTAGTGGTTGCCCCTGAGTCTACAAGAACTCAGAACAGAAAGTTCCATCTGCTGCCTGGAATCTAAAGTAACAATAACAGGAGTAATTAAGTATGCTTGCCTGCTGTCAGCTGTCTGAACTTTCCTTAAATGGTGGAGGGCCCCCCTTTTTTGCTCCTGGGAGAGGGGCCAGCAAAGTTTCCTTGGTGTGCTGCTTCAAAGTGAACTGGGCACTTGCTGGCTCTGTTGATTCACAAGTTCTGCATCAGGTTGCTGTGTCAGACACTTGCACTTTTACTGGGCATGATCTGGCTATGTGCCCTGGGGCCTCACAATAAAAGCACAGTCCCTGATCTCTTCTTCTTAGCTTCTCTCCTGATGACAGGGATCTCTTGGTTGCTCCGATTTGCATGGGTTCTCCCATGCTGGATTCTGAGGAGGCCTTTGGGAAGGGGGATATGGGGGAAGGCAGGCTGTAGGTTCTTTTCCCCTTATCATTTCTTCCCTGCCTTAACTCTTCTAATCAGGTGTCTATTATTACACAACGTTGATACAGCTCTTCCAGGTATTTGGGGTGCCTTACCTTACTAGCTCATCTCTTAGGACCTTGGCCAGCCCTTCTGGGGTCAGTCAGGGCTAAGTCATTCCACCCTACATCACCAGCAAGTAATTTAAAGTCCAAAATATATGATCTTACTCTCCTTTGTCCCTTTCAGTCTGTGTTTGGGGTGGGGGGGAGAAGGAAGGTGCTTTACCAGCTGCTGGCTGGCTGTAGGCTGACAGTGTTGCTGCTGGAGTAAAGTGACTGTTGGGCTCTGCTTCTCTTTCAGTTCTTCTGCTGTTAGCTTGCTGGAATCTGCTCCTTCTTCAGCATCAGTCACCTGCAATTTCTTCCTCTCTGCTCCCTCACATGACAAGAATCTCCTTCAGATCCACATCCACACTCAGGTGCTAACAGCATTTTCCTTTTGTAATTCAAAACCCGGTGTAGCACTTCAGACTGCCTTAAAGTCCCAGAGGGAAAGACAGCAAAGGGAGGGAGGAGTTCATGCTGACCACTGCAAAGCTTTCTCACCTGAAAAATGGCAGGAGCACCTACAAAACAGAATAGCTGAGGTGAAAAGGTAGACATTTCTCTGAGTCGAGCTGATCTTCTTGTGACTACACAGGAATAACCATGTTGTTTGCTTGGCAATAATGTGGAAGTGGTTTGCCACTGCCTTTATTCCAGAATGTTTTTGGTTTCAACTTCCGAGTCTAGTCTATAGCCCTGGGAATTATCTGGTGGTCTCACCAATCCCTGTACTAATTAGGTTTGATCCTGCTTATCTTCTTCACAGTTGAATGAAGTTTAGCTAGGGGCTAAACAACAACAGTAGCTTTTGAGAAATCACATTTATTTTGCAACTGCTCAAATGGCAAAAATTCTACATCTAGTCCTATTAATGGTTCCATTTTCTAGCCAGGTTCTCCAACAACATTTTGCCTTTCTAGCTCAAAGTTGGATTTCTTCATTTTGTTAATCTGGCAGGATCATATGGGTGAAGCTGGAATTGGCATGTTATGCATGTCAAACTATTAGCCATCAGAGGAGAAGGAATTTCATATTTTACAAAATAATTGGATTCTAGAGCTCTGCAAGGTTTGAATAGGACCTTCATGTTTGAAGGTTCTCAACCAAGTGAGCAACAGAGAATTTTGATCCGAAATAAAGATGGAGCTCAATGGGGAAGTTTCAGAGGCGTTGGTTGTCAGTTTCCAAGACGACCTTGAATGAAGCTGGAAAACTTACTTCTTTAGTGATTCCTGCTTCTTAAGGTAGGAATGGGCAATCTATTCTACCCTCTCAGAGCTCCCTCCAAAAGCGTTATCAAACTTTGGCACTGCGAATGCTGAAAATTGGTAAGGGCTTCTTACTTTTTCTCCATTGAGACAGAAAACACCATGAATCCATCATATTAGACCAAGACTAGGGCGTGATGCAGTTAAAAAAGTAAAGGAAAAAAAAATTAAATCTTGCACTGCCCATCTACCTGATATATCCCCACACACTTCGCACAAACACTCTGTCCACTGGGGCCTTCATCCTGTCCTAAAACATGTGTACCCCAGCTACCCAAAAATTTCCCACTCCTACCTTAGTATTGTCTTCATGGGGAGTTCTCCCCATTACAGAATACTGCACTGAAATAGATGATCCCCTGGAAAACCTTCCAACATTTGTGTTCAGGTTTCTTCTCGCATCAGCTAGAGGAGGAGGACTGTCCTTTCATACAGGCCATTATTGCTATTTTGCAGAGCTTCCAATAGTGAAAGTGACTCATCAGGCCAGCATCAACAGCCTTCATGCCCTCACCTGCCAGGCCTATGGCTTCTATCCCAAGGAGATCAATACCAGTTGGAGGAAGAATGGAGAAGTCTTTGACCAAAACAGCAGCTCTGTGCACATCGCCCCAAATTCAGATGGGACCTTTTATGCCAGGCTGAGTATTCAGATCAATCCCAAGGAGAGGAAGCTTTACAGATGCCACGTGGAACATGTCAGCTCCAGTGAGCCCCTGGATGTTGTCTTGGAGGAAACAGGTGAGAAACCACAATAGAGAAAAGGTCTGGGCTCCAGCTGAAAAGCACAGGTATATGTATGAATGTTCCCCTGTATTAGAAGTCCCTGATATCACCAAATGGGGAGCTGTGCCAGCTCCATTTCAGATGGGATCTGCTCTGTCTTCTCCCCCCTCTGCTTCAATAGCTACTCCTATTCATATGCTTGTAGGGCTGGGGAACAGCTGCCACCACCTCTTTATGCAGGAATTGTAAGTCTAGGAGAATTCCCCAACTCCCGGATTGTTCCTTCCCCTACTGAGCAGGCCGGTCAATGCCTGTGCAGCTCTTCTCCAGTCCTCTGCACAATCCAGCAGTATTGTCACCTCTCAGCTGGGAAGCAGTCTGTCACTCTGACTCGCTGACTGCCTCCGGCCACACTTCAGCTCCACAGACCAGGTGGTCAACCACAATCTGCCCCTCTGACACATTCTCCAGCCCCTAACATTCACATTTCCCTCCCAGATAATCCAATTGTGGCACCACGGTGAGGAAGAAAAGCCCTTCTGGATGGGTCACTTCATTGTAGATTTGCTTTCAATACTTTTCCTATGTTATCAGAATTTTCAAGCTGGATAGTCCTTGTTTCATGCAAATCAATCCCTAAAGTTTTCAGTTCTGCCATTTCCTGATATAAAGAGTCAAATCTCTGCTTCCTTATTATATACACTCAATCCTTGTTATCCACAGGCTGTATGTTCTTGAGCCCCCCCTGCAGAAACAGAAACCACAGTTATTGAAGCATTGATCTATGAGAAAAATGGGGTTAGGTTCCCATGGACCCTCTTCAGTACACCTGTTACTGTAAGCACATCATGTTTCCAATAATACAGAACATACAGTACAGTATTTGAAGTATTTTATTTTAAAGAATGAAAAAGCTTTTATTTAAAGAACAAAAAGAACTTTTTGCCACTCTATAGACTGGGTGACGGAGATAGCAAGGGCAGCTTGACATCTCCAACTTCGGCTGCTTCCTCCTCCATGCTGGCTATCCCTTGACTTGTTGAAGGTTGTAGTGCCAGAGACGTCTTCCTTGCGATGGGTTTAAAGAACTGTGTTAGTGTTGCGTGCCGTGATTTCCATCACAATTCTTTTAAAGGCGTATGGACAAAAAGCATCCTCAAGTTGGCTTTTAAACTTGAGGCTGCATTCCATCGAGGGATCCAACTCCTGAACTTCCTTGGAAAGGTTGTCAAGCAACGCAGCCCACTTCTCAAGCTTCGCTATGTTGAGTGGGACAATTTTTGGAGCAGCTTCATTGTCGTCAGCATCAGCATCATTGCTCTTTTTTGCCTTCCTCAGCCATAGCATCCAAATCCTCATTGCTAAGCTCAATGACATGTTCTGTTAAAATGTCAGCAACATCCTTCTGTAGGTCGCCACCAATCCTTCATGTCAAACTCATGATAGCTTGCACATTTTTTTTACCTTGTTCGTCAGCATTTTAAAGCCTTCAAAACCGGTGACATACTGCAGCCAGACTTTTTTCCAACTGCAGCCTGAGAAACTTTATTCCAGTCTACTTTCATGTAGTCTGACATTGCAGATGGTGATGGGCTTCCAAAAGTCCATTGGGTGGAGTCAGGGTTTGCATCCAGATGTTGGCAAGCATTGCGGTAGAGCTCCTGGGTATAATGGCTTTTGAAAGCCTTTATAATGCCCTGATCAAGTGGCAGGAGGACAAAAGTTCAGGGGCATGGAAAGGACTTTGACATTTGGGTAGGCATTTTCAAGGTCCACATGAATGTGAGCAGACACATTGTGCAATAGCAATAGAACTTTGAATACAAAGTTCTTAATGATTTTCAGCAGGTTTTACAAACTTTTCAGCAACCTCTGTATTTGCTGAACCAGCCTCACCTGGAAGTTTCACATTTTTTAACCCATACATGTTTTAAAATGCTCCAACCAGCCAGCACTACCAGAGAAAAGCTTCACATTTTCCTGATTTTCAGTCAAATGTTGTAAATTTGTGTGGCTTTGTTCCTTATAGTAGCGTTGTCCACAACACCTCCCTTGTGGCCAGCCATTTCATTTTTCCACAAACTAAGCTGCTGTTCCATTTTTTTCCATCACACATCTCACAAACAACAGAAGTCACTTTA